TGCCTAATAATGTATACAATATACATAATTTGTGCATAATTTTAATTAGGCTAATTTATTTATTTTACATTCAATCAATATGTGGCCTACCCAATTAATGTTTGGTTAATTTTTAAGATGTTTTAAACCGATCAATCAAATGTCATAACCGGAAATGAAATTGGATTATTTGTATCTGCTTTTTTAAATTTTCAAAATGTAGATTGAAAATGATGAAGCATAAAGTCGATGCAGTGACCCGATATTAAAACAGCAGTTACATCATAAGTCCCCAAGTAAATAGGTTTTCCTCTGCTTTTAATTAAAAAAAAAATATTTCATACCATTATGAAATTTGTTTTTAAAAAAAATGATTAAAATGTTTATTTCATTCAATAATAAATGATGTTCAGACACACTTAGTTCTAACGGTATGCAGCTTTCAACAGCATATTTAATCACAAACAGTAATGCGGTCACAGGTGTGTTTAAGTTTAAAGATACCATCAGTGACGCGAAGCAGAGCCGTTCCTATGATAATTATGAAAAAGAAAGAAAACTAGACCATTATAGGCTACTTCCAATATCAAACAGGCATCTGCATCGCATTAAATGAAACAAGGTACAGGGATAGCGATAGGCTATTTCCTTGCAGACAGTCTCCAGATCATCATGCATCCCTTCCCGGTGATTCTGAGTCAAGGCCAGGCGAATATTTCTTTTTATAGAGTCTCCTCTCCAACAATATAACCCCCCCGCTGAGCTGGCGACACCGCTTTTTCTGGGAACCGCGGAGGGTTTTTATCATCAACGGGGGACACATTCATTCAGCCTGTCAGCCTGGGAGAGGTGAGATGAGTGAGAAATAAAGTTCACTAGAAGCTCTGGACCACATTGTCTTAGTTACATTGGAGGTACTTCAATCCTTCATCATCTTCGACCTCTTCTTTCTCTTCTCAGAGCTGCAGTGAGTTGTTAAATCTCCGACACTTCAGATACATTTATCATCGTCACATGCGGACTCTGTTTCTCTGCGAGCTCCTGCTCAACGAGACCAGGAGCAGTTTCCTTTGAGCTGCTCCAGCTTAAACAAGGCTGAAAGATGAGACATCCTGCTATTATAAATTCGGCAATTATTATTATTTTGTTATTATTTATTTTAAACTTTTTTTAAACTGATGAATTAAATCAACGCAACTTTTAGGCTAAATGTGTCTGACCAAATTTGAACATAGGCATACCTCATACCATAACATCATACCTATCATACCTTAAAAAAAACAAGCAATGACTCAAATAATTATTGTTTTTGTAAAAATGTCAAAGCTAGACCTTGAATGATTGTTTATTTGTCTTTGGGCTTTAGGATAGTCGGTTGAAACATGTTATCATAACCTATTATTTTCTGTTTTTGCACATGGAGGATTTAGCCTATACCTGTATAGGATGTATGTATAACATCATATATAGTCTATTTACATTATATAGTTGATTGAAACATGCATGACTTTTATCCTTTAAATGCTTGCTTTTTATCAATTGGAATAATTATTTTTTGATTATGATGATGTTAATGACATGCAGAAATACACGTGTCCTCTATGTCACACACACTCCTCTATGTCACACACACACACACACACACACACCTGCTAAATTGTGTGAAGCAGTTCTGCACGTGGACCTGAGAGTGAGCCATGCAGCACGTGAAGGCATCCTGAAGCTTAAATGACCGTGAACCATTGTTACTTATACTAGCAGCTAAGTGGTCCTATACCAGCCTGATTGAGCCAAGTGCTTTGAAAGTGGAGACATTATGTTTAATTATGAGAACTCTGGGTTGGACTGACTGCAGCTTTTTGTTTGCATCTTTGTCTGAGGTAGCAATGTTTTAAAAAATAATAATAAATAAAATGTTGCTCAGATTATTGCACCACACGCACAAAAAATGATCAGACTAAAACTGTCAACTATAGATCAGGAAAAATATCCCAAAAATGTAAAAAGGCGAGATTACTTATTCCAATGTAAATGCGACCAATAAGATATTGCCTATAGGCCTACAGGAGTTTACTCACATGATGAGCCATTGGTTACCAGAATATATTGACTTGCAACGAGTGCAAATATTTAGGCTGTAAATGCCTTTAGACATCCACCCTCTCTTTTATGTCTTTATAGTCTAAATTCACAGAGCTGGCATGAAAAGGGTTAAGACAACTTTCTGAGGAGGCAACAATGGGCCTTTGTGTGGAGTCCCTGCCTCCTGACTGCGAATCAAAGCAGTTTATAAAGTGAAATAAAGGCCCAATGAGCCTTACAGTTGTTTTGTATCTCGGCTCGGCCCTCATCTGTTACCTTGGGATTTAAATGAAACGGTATCGTTATCATCTTGTCCACGGTATATCAGTCCTCTTAAAGGCCGGTGTTTGGGATGCTAATTGTCATGGACATTGTTTTTCAGTATCACTGCCCCTTCTGTTCACAAGACAAATAGAGTGGAAACAGAACCCAAAGAACAAGTTAAACATGTTACTGACAAGTTCATTGATAAATAGGCCTAAGCTTTACAATATTATCAATAAGTGAGAAAGGGTGGTATGGAAATAATATTAATTATCAACAAAATATTTTGTTATTTTTCTAGCTGAACTAGCCTATAGATAGGACTAGCTAAAAAAATTTAAAAAAAAAACGCAGTCAAAATGAAAATACAGGACAAAAGTTCATCTATCAGCAGACCTGTTTGTTTGGCGCAACAAACTTGATTCATGACTTTCTGAACAAGTCACTAAAAGAAAAATGAGCACCCCATGCAGTTGCTGCTACACCTCATACGCCTCATACCAAACCGGTATTTGTGTTTACGCTGACTCGTTTAACTAGTTGGGGTTGGAGATGGAGGAAACAGGAGGAGGAGGAGGAGGAGGAGGAGGAGGACGGGTAAAGTGTTTTGAGCCCCTACCAGAGGGCACCTGAGACTCGTCGGTGACTTCAAAGCTTTGTTGCAGCCATGCCGCTTGTTCCAGGTTGAAGTGTCTCCAAACACGCTGCAGCTGCTAGCTACACACTATACCGAGGAAACGATTCATCAACACTCGTTTGTTAAGTTTTATTAACCGAGTGGAAGCAGGTAATAGCTTTAAAGCACGAGACAACAATTAGGAAAACACCTGTGGCTGCAATTTAAATATGTATGTGTCAACCGGAAGTCTTCTACTGTCCATTGAATTCATGTTGTTGTTTCCTTTTCGGTTATGTCAAATTAGGCCTATTGTTTAGCAACTATTTATTAAAGTTAACAAAACCCATGCACTTTATATTTTGTTATGACATGTCCAATAAAATAGTCTTCAGCCTCACAAAATAGAAATAGGACAGGATTTACCTTTATCGCTTATAGGCCTACAAAACAGGTAGCAGGTGTCGTAGGCCTACTCACCGTTTCACCGTTAACGTTAATTGAGACCATTTGATATTTCAACCATAACCACATTACAACACAACAAACTTTATGAGGCAATGATAGGGTCAATGCTTATGCTCTATAAGAACGTTTATAGTATGTCCCCAGACGCGCCATCGTTGTGGGACAGAGAGATCATGAGGATGATTCGTTTGATATGTATCTTCAACACTTCCTCAGACAGAGATTTAATGAGTAGACTTTGGGAAACATTGCACCCAGGAATCCCTTTGAGTAACCAGTGGGCGCTGACCTTTCCTCCTGAGGACTTTTGCACCGACCTACGCTCATTTGAATAGATGGAAATGTCGTGCGATCGGCTGAGAAAAGAGCAACTTTTTTTTTTTTCTGGCTGAATGGCTCAGTGTCCCTGGGCTAGGGCGGGCAGAGGGAGGGAGGAGGCGGTTGCTGCGATCTCGGTGCGGGTTCAACTCCTTCAATAGTCTCGATCGCTTTGATCTGTGCGCTGCTGGCGCCTAAAAACAACATAACTTGTCTGCCCATTAAGGAGACTGACAAATCGTGACAGATTGTTTAGGCTTGGCAATTAGCGACGCAGACGCGTTCCCTGAGAACTGACTACACGGCGAAAAAAAAGGTGATCTGCACCTCTTTACTTTAATTCGTTAGCCTAGTATGTTAAACTTAAACCAACTTTAAAAATGTTTTTAAAAAAAAGGTAATCCAACATGCCGCGTGTAAAATATCCTACCTTTGCTTTCGAAATAGATTAACAGGCCCTACAGCACATATATTATTCCATGCATCCAATAATAACAATAAGAAAATCCCTTTTTTATGGACTGCAGATAATGAAAAGCTATGAGGTACAGCCAGGTAAATCAATGACAGTCCTGGCTTCAATCTCTCCTTGGCTCCAAGCTGCCTACTTCCCCCTCGCCCCCTACCTCCCCCCTCGGACTCCACATCATTTTTGACTTTAATGGATGTAGTCAAAGGGGAAAAATCCTAGTAACCCCCCCCCCCCCCCCTCCCCCAAAGCCCGATAATTACCCCTAAATGACTGTAAAGGCTTGTGTGTTTCAATCTGATTAGAGCCCTGCAGCCATCAATAAATATAAAGTGGGGTGTTAAACTGTTGTGCAATATATTAAAGACTCACTTTAGAGGATTTAGCACATGGCCAAGTGAGTCATGACATGGATCGATATGAGTAGGTTAAAGCACATCAAAAGCATTAACAGTAGAGTTATTACAGTTTTAAACATGTTGAGGAAAATAGAAATAATTGTCCTAATTGTAAAAAGTTAACAAGGAATATAATTCAAGGGGGGCTTTGGGGTAGGCCTATGAATTTGTTTTGATTTAGACTATTGTTTATCACACTATGGTCTGTTAAGGCGCTGTTGTGTTTTTGTTTACCTAAAAAATGATAGTAAAGGAAACAATTGCAAACTTTCTCACTCCGGTTTTTTTTTTTGGACTAGAGTAACCACGCCCACCTCGCCCCTGATTGGCTGTCTCCCTCTCCACGCCTGCCTTATTATAGCCCTGTACTCCAATCTGGTCACATAAACATGAGGATACCGTCACCTTAAGGCGCACCGTGCTAACTTTGTGCAACACTTCTTTCTAAACTCACGAGAGCCAACGCGTCACCTTACCCGTGCCAGTCGGACCTGTATGGCCCCATCGATCGCCATGTCAGCTATGACTGCTGCTTTGAAAACTGAAGACGTCAGCAGAGGCGACATGCAGACCAGTCTGAGCCCCGCAGAGGACACTGTGAAGCCCAAAGTTGCTATTTTGCCTTTCAGTGTGGAGGCTCTGATGGCTGATAGGAAACCCAGCAGAGAGGTGACATCCCCGGGTGGCACCACGTCGGTTCCCGGGACGTCCCATGCGCTGGGGAAGAGCGCGGCGAGGATGGGCTCGTTCGGTAGTCTGGATACTTCGGTTCCTGGTTTGGCCATGAGCTCGACTTTTTCAGTGGGGGACATCATGAGCATGCCAGAAGACGTGTTGATAAAACCCGAGAGCCCGGACAGCAAAGACAGGACGTCATGGATGCAGAGTCCTCGCTTTTCTCCAACACCCCCACGTGAGTAAAAAAAAAAGAAGCCCCATATTGATTACAGTCTTAAAAATGTGAACTTTTCATAAGCCTAAAAGCCAGTTTTTTCGTTTGTGGAAAATACGTTTATTGCACACTGTATCATGAAGCCTTTATTCTTCTCATTTATTGGAGTCTGACATTACGCATGCAATCCAATGTTTGAAATTAAAGTGTTTTTCCTCCTACAGGCAGATTGAGTCCCCCGGCCTGCCCTCTGAGAAAACACAAGACGAACAGAAAGCCACGGACCCCCTTCACCACGTCCCAGCTGCTTGCCCTGGAAAGAAAGTTCCGTCAGAAGCAGTACCTCTCCATCGCCGAGCGCGCCGAATTCTCCAGCTCCCTCAACCTGACGGAGACCCAGGTCAAGATCTGGTTTCAGAACAGGAGGGCCAAAGCCAAGAGACTGCAGGAGGCAGAACTTGAAAAACTGAAAATGGCAGCTAAGCCCATGTTGCCTCCAGCTTTCGGGATTTCCTTTCCGCTCGGTGCGCACGTGCCCGGGTCCTACGCAGGATCGCATCCGTTCCAGAGGCACTCGCTGCCGGTTTCCCCCGTGGGACTGTACGCCGCTCACGTCGGATACAGTATGTACCACCTCGCCTGACAGGACCAAGGGCACGTACAGACTAGATTATGAAGGCCCCGAGAGAGAAAGGGGGGCCATTTGAAGAGGTGAAGTGACTTTTTTTTAACCAAATAAAGAGGCATTCTGGTGATGAGCTCAGGGTCACATCTTAACAGACCCCTCTGTGAGGACCCTGAAGTTAATTCACTTCTCTTGACCTCGTCAGTAAGTGCACACACTGCAAACAAATAGAAATCATCCAACTTGAATCTTGACTCTATTTGTCAGTGGACAATAAAAACAATAATGTCACTTGAGAACGTATTATTGCCAGAAAACGTATTTCAGCAAATAATATTAAGTGTGAGAATAACTGACTTGAAGATGGACATGTTTGAGATACAGGGACAGAAAAATACATGCGGGCCTTTTACATGAGTGGACAAAAAGAGTGTCAAAGAATGCCCATATACCTTCATGGCTGCATACAGCAGCTGTCATACGGTCAGCCTTTAAAATAAGAGACTATTGCGCAGCTTGACAATTAGGGCTTTGCTGCCACTCTGCAAAAATCATACTTTCTAATTGATTTGCATTATTCCAATGCGTCTCTGAGCTGGGTCAGTGAGCCCAGTGTCAATGAATGCTCTTTGTGAATTTCGGAGAACCACAGCATTTGTTTTTGTTTTTTATAACAGCACTGTCTGTTGTTGGAATGATTCCCTTCAGAAGGGATATGTGTACTGTAAAATAATGTATATTTGAAGAATATCCTCATTTATATTATGAATATATTTGTGACATAACTTAACAATAAATTGTTTATTCTTTTTCATGAAGAAGTTGTTCGTTTTCAATGACACTTTGCACGCTGCAACAGAACAGGATTTTTGACACGAAGCAGTCGAAAATAGAAAGCCTAAATTTTAAGATGATTTAAAGTTGTTTGTGAAAACTCTGGGAAATAAGCTATTTTAATATTATTTATGTTAGGAGGAGATTCGGGCCTGTTCTGAAAGCTGCAACTTTCTGAACATTTTGACCCCCCCCTAAAAAAAAGAAAGACTTTTGCTAACGCCTGTGGCCCCTGTTGTTACTTTACTACCAGTAATATTGCAAATACAATATCAAATTTGGAGATTTACTCTTGTGCTCGTATTTCTGTCTTACAGGATGTCGGGGCTGAACCGTGATTTTAAAATTGTCACATGTTATTTGGAGGAATGTATTGCTACAGCTGTTGCCTATTGCTTTGAAACAACTAACCTAGATTTTGTCGGCGCCAGCAGAGTTTAGTGGGTGGAGATGATGGTGGGGGACAACCAGTTGTGCTGACTTCAAAACACACTGATAAATAGTCTATTGGAGATTGCTCCTGTCGGCTAAACTGCTCGTAAACAATCAACTTGAGTGTCATTATGGAGTGTTTAGGGTGTAAAAAAAAAAAAAAAAGCCAGGTGACACTCTATTTTAGAGTCGACAGGGTAACATAAATATATCTATATATATATATATATATCTTACTGGAGCTACATAAAGAAAATATTTGATCCCTGGAGTCATTTTGTTCCATCAATTGGAATGAGCTGACAAAACCGGGATCAGATGTGGGGAAATGACAGACCACTCCGCAGCACTTTTAAAGGCTTTCTCTGCAGCTCTGTGCCATTCAGGCAGGGGTTAAACTGCAGTAAAATAATTGCTGTAATGAGCAAAGGCAATCTGCCGCAGACGGAGGCCGGCTCCAGCGAGGCTGTAGCTCCAGGCAAGGCGGAACTTTTATCATTCCTAAAATGTCAACGGGGGACTGGGACGGGCAACACTTCTGCTCTGTGCGCATTGATCTCCTGCTGCTCAGCGCTGACAAGCTGCTGTCCCAAACTTATCGGCTACTTCATGCACAATCAATTTGATCCCACTTTATTTAACAACATCATTGAAGTTTATTTAGCCTAAGTGTTTCACCAGAGTAGTTACATTTCGCGTCATGTTTCCCCACCACACTCTATTATTTGTTGTTTATTTGAAGTGTTCTTCTGACAATATCTATCCGTTTTATCTACGAGGCATGAATCACTCGAGTCCCTGACACTAGCTACGTTAAAATCACCCGGATGAGCGCTCCGTGTGAAAAGAAGAGAAAGTTGACACAAAAGAACCAAAGGGGATCCCTCCATTCTGTCTACTCTCTCAGTTCTTTTGTCACCTCGGCTCTCCATCTTGCCTGGAGCCAAATAGAAAACAAAACTCTCAACTTTATATCATCCTAAAGATCACAGGAGGTTGTTTAAAAGCTATTGATCCCAAAAGAAAGGAAAAATGGGTTATTAGAAGAAGTTACAGCACGGATTGTTGAAGCGGAGGAGGCAGCGGATGAATGATGGAGGGACACGCTGTGGGACCAGTTTTATAAAGTGGATTAATACAGGCTGATAACCAAAATGTGTTAAATGTAGCAAATATTATTTATACACTTCCTTAAATGAAAGTGGCATTAAAAGACAATTATTTTGAATAGGGAAATTAGCATTCGTGTTGGAGCCACCAAAAATTCAGATTTTTTTTTTTTTAGCCTATTCCCATTCCTTTTTTTCCAGATTAAATTTGGATGTTTCCTTTTTTGATTATCTCTGAACGTATTCAAGTTTTTGTTTACACATACACACTTTATCCTGTTGTAGGCTGAAACAACAATAATAACGCTTCATATTTTAAATCAAGCAGAGATGAGGTCTTCATGAATAAGATTTATTGAATTGAGGGAATGACGTGAAAAATTATGTTTGAATTTTCATAGGTCTTTACTTTTTTAACTGTTCATTTGTCTTGATTGCAACTGCGTCGATATGTATGTTGTGTGTGTGTGTGTGTGTGTGTGTGTGTGTGTGTGTGTGTGTGTGTTTGTGTTCTTTTTGATTTATATTCAAGCACGGCTGTCGAGGCCTCCATGTAGACTTCTTCTTTTTCCACAGAGAAAGTGTCTTTGTTGTCTTTAAACAGGTTTTAATGAAACATTTGAACTGTGGGGAAGAAGTTGACTCAAGTGGAATCAGCCTTTAAATACTTTCAAATAAAGCACATGTAGCCTAACTTTCTTTCTGAGTTTACTTAAACAACCACAACACCACCTCCTGTTCAAAGTCGGTGTAACATTAAAATGCTTTATATCAAGTATTAATAATTTATAAATTAGCAGTATGGCCTGTATACAAAAATGGGTAAACGCGTATAACTTAAATTCACCCTTACTCCCATAAGTGAGCCTATTGAAACACTTTGATCCTGGCCCTGAGCTCAGCTTTTCATTTGGCCTCTTATAGACAACAGCGATACATGGTTTTTAATTTGTAAATAGCGAAATGGAAAGTCTGCTGGGAAACACTTTGGAAAAGAGAGGATGTTGTAATTTAATTGCGACTTCAAATTAAAAAAAATATATATCATGTAGCCTATAGGCCAGTATTAAGGAAATGTGAAATGGCATAAAAGTACTTTTGTGATTTTTCAATTTGATTTGCACATCTTCGTATGGAGTCCTGTAGGGATCAGAAACCATAAAGAAAAGTGCCTGGGCACATGGGAATTTTCAACGTTTCAAAAGACATGATGCTCTTTTGTTAAGAAAAACCCACATTATTTAACTACAGGCCGTATTGATTGGAATTGTCGGTCTCTTCTTTGCTCAGAAAGGTACAGTGCTGTATAGGAGTCTAGAGTCAGAGCATGCTTTAAATCCAGTCAATACTGCTTCGGGATGTTATTCATCAATGTTCACTTAGCAGCAAACAGATATCAGCACCAATTTCTTTCAGCTGCCCAAAAGACCTATAAAATAAATCTACACAAAACCACATGTTCTCATGGAGCGAGTTTACGGTAATATTAAAGCACTGACTGAAAAAATAAAGAAAATAAATAATGCTGTAAGCTCACAGTAAAAGTCAATATCTTCTTCATGCTGACATGACACTAAATAATAAACATTTCTCACACCATTATTAAACATCATGATGAGCCGAATGTGCTTATTCCACAATGAAAATAAAACCCTTGGCAACAAGTAGCATAGTCTTTAACTGATCCAATAGTTCAGAAATAAAGCGATGACAAACTTTTTTTTATGTGACATGTAGTGACATGTAGTGTCCGCTAGAGGGCCCTGCTGACTCACTTACCATAACGTACCTTGAGCTTGTTGACCTGCTTTTATTCACAGAGCTCCACCACTGACCCTTCATTCAATAATGACTTCAGTGTGTGAATCAGGGGAACAATTAGGAGTTTATAAGGTACATTTACCGCGGACAGCTTTAGTTAGAATGTGAGACTTTTGAATTTCACCACACACCACCATCCACGGCCAAGTTTACTGAGCAAAACACAATTACAATAAACGCAGAGGGCCAATCAGCTATTGGAAATTAAAGAGGAAACTTGTTTTTTTCTTATGGGCAACACTGAAGCAACATTTCTTTTAAGGTGCAATAAAAAGAGCTAAATGTGATGGAAAATTGCCTCAAAGCTCAATAAACAAAAGTGAATCACCACCAGTGTTCGAATGTAAATAGGTTTCTGATCTGTCCTTCACAAACACATTTATACCAACAAAGCAAAGAATCATTTCGGTCGCCCTCAGGCTCAGTTGTTTTGTTTTTTATTGAGCAGCATTTAACATTTCTGCTGCAGTGTCACACAACAATTACCTGGCCTCCTGCAGTTTGTATGTTCTCTCATTTTGACTTAATGATAGAAAATAACCTGGACTCTGCGGCCTCCTATTCAACTTTAGAATTTAGTAACCACAGTATTGGCACCTTTTTTTCATGAGCGTACTGCTGAATAAAAGTTCAGCTTATATTTTGTGCGATTATTTAATCAGCAGTGAGAGATTCAGGCCTGTTAGCTCAGAAGTGTAACAACTTGATTGTTGGCGGCACAAACACATCAAATTAAACTGCAGGCAGTGAAATTAGTTTTAAAACGATCAGTATGTGTAGTCAGATTACAAAAAAAAAAACACCTCATGCTCTGGACTAATGCAGCTGCACAAGCTTGTTATGGTTTATAGATATTATTGTGGTTTATAATATTACAATACAAAATGTCCAATTTAACGTTTTAGTTTCAGATTTCTTTTTGTCATTTAATCACAAAATGTGTGTGAATCCTGGACTCCAGTTGCTTTTAGTGACACATATTGTTTTAAACTCTTTCTGAAACGCTACTCGCCTCCTGTGGGATCTTTGCAATGTAACAATTCAAACATTATTTCTGAACTGTAGTTACAGTATGAATTGTTAACAAATTAAACACCCTTCATCTGATCTGGCAATTTAAAACCAGAACCTACAGCGCCACCTTGTGACGGACAGTGAGAATGCCAAACTCCCTCTGAATAGCAGTATAGCTAATAAAACTATGCAGGACAATAATGAAAACAGTACGGTCACTGTCTGGAGGTCATGGTGCAGGATCAGTCCAGCAAAATCTATCAAAACAGCAACATGCCAACTCAAGAAACATGAACAGCCTTATATTTATCTTTGAGTTAATTTGTCCATCTGAAAACGACTGTCACATTGGCAGCATCAAGTTGAAGAAATACTAAATAATTAAAGATCGAGAGGCTCCCATGGGATGCTTTCTTAATGCCTTTAAGGAATACATTTGGATTTAAGTTTTATTTTTCTCTATATCGACATCTTTTAAGAAGACACATCATCATTCTGAAGTAAACATGTGTCCTTGTTTGAACTGGTGGTGCATGAAACTCTGAGAATGAGATGCCAAACTCTTTCATAAATGATCATCTATCTGTTGTCAGACAGGTGAATAAAGAAAACAAATCACCAACATAAACATGGACATTAGGAGCGTTGGTTGTGTCTATTACTCTGTGGCAGCCGTGTCATATCAGAGGGGGCCGGGGCCTGGACTGGTTTTTCTTTGGTTATTTTAAGTCAGGTGAACTGTACCACACTTAACTCTTGACTTACATTAACGAGTGTAATCATGGATTGAATGATATGTAGGGGGGAAATTCACAACAGGAGGAAAAAAGTCAGACTATTATGGGGAAATGCTTTCTACATGGTTAAGGGAATACTTTCGAGAAAAGAAGAAAAAAGGGGAAAAGAATTAGACATAATGAAGGTCTCTAAGGCCTAGAGTGTATACAGTACTGTTAGCAACCACCACTCTGTGTGCAGATACCACAGTGCGGCCAACAGAGGGCAGCAGAAGCCATGAATTTAATCAGACAGGCAGACCTGTTCCAAAATCCAACAAGTCATTACACTGTTTTAAAAAGAATTGCTACATAATGGTGGAGACAATTACAACACCAAAGTAAAGCTGAGTTTTTATCTTATATGTTTCATGAGTCATCCTCTGTCTTCTGATATGTAAATACTCAACTATTCGGATGTGCTGTAGTTGTAGTATTTATCTTATATCATAAAGATGACTACATGTAGAAGATGCTGCAGCTCAGTCACTGATAGTTCATCTGAGTTCATTTTAAGACACAAACATTCATTTGTTTCTCCTCTAACAAAGATAACGCTTTTGAACTTTTGTTTCTAGACAATGGCTTCTTGAAATACAAGTGTTTGAGTCCTGGATGACAGATGTTGATTGTTACTTTCTGACTGAAAGAAATTTGGATTCTTACTTTGTTTTTGTTTGTTTTGAATTGTTATGTTGTGACCTTTAGTAGTGTAATGGCTGCATAGCTGAATATGATCTGTAAAAAGGGTATACAGTTCAGGCACAATAAGAGATTCAGCCCACACCTTTTCAATTGGCTCAATTCCTCACTGTATTTGATTTGTAATTAAGAAATAACTCTTTTTCTGATACAAAAAATACACACTGATACATAAAGATGACGTTTATTACAAAATATGATGAAAAAGATAAAAACAGAAAACTTTCGTATGTCCACTACAGTCAGGCCTCTATAATTTGATATCCATCCTGTCACAGAACTTGAAAGTTTTTCTTATGCTCAGCTTCAGAATTAGCAGCACTTAAGTTGTTAGTCCTGCGATATAGAACAGGAAAACAAAATCTATAAGAGAAAATTGTGAAAGGAGCACAGTACACAAGCATGTACCTATGACATTTAGTCCTTATGTAACGTTTTGAACCCACCATGTTCAACCCTTTTAATGTTTGCAAAAAGCTGCATAATGCCTCTTTAAGACATGTTAGTCAGAGTAAGGGTTACGGCAACACAACATATTTCTCTTAATGGCACACTGAGCTTTGATCAGTTCTGGTAAGTAAGCAGCAGTTAAGCCCACTCACAAGCATCTCTTATTGGTTTATTATTTCAGGGTTTTCATCGGCATGGTTGGCATTCAGCAAATTTCCTGTGGAAAGTTCTGCACTCCTTTGCTGGAATGTAGCCACACATGTCCGCTAACATGAGTGTGCAGCTACAGCAGCGCCAACTAGGTACAATGCTCCAACAGCACTGTGTGTTTGGCTAATAATGCTAATCCAATGCAGTGCACATCGGGGTTTATATTGCACTTGCTTTACTAAACTACTATACTGCTAGTGTGTTTTGGTAAAGGAATGTACGTCTGCTCATCTCTCCTCCTGTAGCAGCTGAAGTCTGTCCTCTGCGTAGTGAGGGCTGCTGTGTCCAGTGTCAATCGCCTCACAGTCGTCTGTGAAAAACACCAAGTCCTGCAAAGGATCAAACACAAAAACACACACGTGGCTCAGACTCAAGAGCTTGAAAACAAAAAATCTTCAGGTGAAAAATGCAGCTGTTGTTTCGGGGTGTTCTTACCCTGTAACACATTCTGGTGATGATGTTGTACAAGTTCTGAATTTTACGTTTCAAGAGCACCATTCTTGGACGCTCTCTGCAGTACTGGCTCGGATGGTTTAGGACCACGTAGAGAAAGTCCCGGAGTTTAGTGGTGACACATGAATTCTAGACAGACAGAAGCAGACAGAATGAGCCGCTCCACTTCTTATCAGGTCTTATTAGAGATATTGTTATTTCACATCAGTATTTAGCAAATCATCATTATGACAAACAGGTCAATTGTCTTTTCAACACTTTAAACCTTAAACATATATTGTTGACCAAATGTAGGGAAGATTGTGTTACAGAAATGTAACCCATAAATCTTGACTGCGACTGTTTTCTGTTGTCTTTCAGTTGAAGACAATTGGCTGCTGTTCATCAATATGTGAGGAGACTTTAGAAGAGATATAGAACACTTTCTTCTGTCCTGTCACTGAAGGGGTTAAACCTCCAGGTCATGAAAAAAGTGATGTGCGAAAAATACTACGACCCCCTTTAAGCAACTCTTCCTGCACGTCATATACATGACAGTACAGCAGGGCTAAACTAAAAACCACAATGTCATTGTTATGGCGATATGAGCATTTGGAAAGGAACTCATAGCAATAAGAATGATTCTATATCCAGCCATGCTTTGTCACTCAGCATGTGTAGAATGGCCATGCTTTATACCATTTGATGCAGTCACATGAAGATGTGCTAGTCATCAGTTAGTTGGTGCCAGTTTAGCCTATAAAGTGGTAAATCATGCTTTTTGGATCGGGAAAACATGAATAACATTACATACATCCTGCCAGTTCTAGTTAAAATGCACTTGTCTGCTTCCGTACACTTCATATATTATTTCTAAAATATTGATGTTACCCCGCATCGCAGTGTTTCTCATATCGTGCAGGCTTCAGTAATCTACATTGTTTTTTTTTTACTTACATGCACATCGAGGAAGATCGTTGGCAGAACCTCAGCACACTGTTTCTGCAAACAAAGAAAACATCATCATCATTAAGGGCACATAGCACAGGGGCGCCGGACTACACAAGTCCACACAGTCTTTGTCAGCAGAGTCTAACACAAATCATTGGGCTTCTAATGTCTCACCGTGCGATGGTATGTGTGTATCTTATCCAGCAGGGTCATGACTTCTTTGCTCAGGCCCAGAGTTCGGGAGTAGCAGGTCGGAGGAGCGCACTCCGACAGCCACACGAAGCTGAAGAAGAAACACAGGAGAGAGGAGAGTCCCAGCCTCATGTCGGAGAGAATCTGCAGCTCAGGACCCGCGTCGAGCTGCTGGGACTGTCAACAGGGGGGCTCAAATATTACAGACGACGACTAAGCAGCACTTTTTATGAGTAGTGGTAGAAAGAAAAAAAAAAAAGAAACCCGATAGACGATGACGTGGAAGCGCAGCGAGGGTGAAGAAAACAACCTGGGTGCGCTGAGTGTTAGAGAGCAAATCACTCTGTTCCTGTGAGCTCCCAAATACCAGAGATAATAGATCTTCTACAGGTCATTACACTGGAAAACAATCAGTGTTCTGGCATGTCATTTCATAAAACATAAATCAGTATGAACAAATGATCAAAGAGTTTCCAGGAGCGTAACAAATGTTTATTAAAATGTGTTCAAACTGCGTCACAGAAAGGAATCCTATTTTTAGTACCTGTGTATCCTGAGTGCTGTACCGTGTTTAATTCTCAACTCAAACCACAACTATCAGTAACTTCCTCACATTTGGTGGTTGTGAACATGACTAATAATAACATATTAGTTGGTGTTTCTGTAAAGTCTACCTCCTCCATAAATCAGAGTTCATGTCCTTAGAAATATACTCTGTGTTTATAGTGTTTAGGAATAAACAGATAAACCAATCTTAAGAGTTGAAGTCAGCTGCCTTTACATAAAAAAAACAGAACCAGATTCCACACACATCCAGAATTTTCTTTTTCTAAACAGCAAAGCTATTGGTTAATTTATTATCATATATCAATGTCATACCATCCTTAAAAAAATGCTGGGAAAGGACAATGTTTTTAAGACTTAAGGTAGGCTTGATGGAGCCACAGAGCCTCTCTTAAAGTTGAGGAAATTTCTTTTCCGTTTTCTTGAAGGTGCACCCGCGTGGTCACTTGACTCCGGTGGGTCTCGAAACACAAACAATCTTTCTCCTGCAGCGGGGAGGTTCAGTGGCATCATGTCTCCCTCTGCTGCGTGGTGTGTTGTTTCGCTCTCACTGTCCAAAACCCTCCGTGCTGCAGTGTCACCATGCTGATGTATGACCGCCTCTTCAGACATAGGGGGTTTATAAACAGGCTGCTGTGCTTCATGAAGACTGTCCTCCTTTCCGTTCTCTTTAAGCAGCAGAGGTGCTACATCTCTTGGAGGAGAGTGAAGGGACCTGGGGAGCAGTTTGTCCACCAGATTTCGCCTCTTTTCCTGGAGTCTGTGAGAATGGGAGCACAAAGGAGCTGTTGTTAGTTTGGTTTGGAGTGTAACAGTGCTTACCTCATGAATGTGGTCACTGCAGCCCAGCCGTGTAATTCATGACAGGCGTATTACACACCATTATAAGGGATCTGACAGCTGAGCTACAAATGAGTGTGAAAAACACAGACATGTGTTGAACTTACCTCTCTTCTTCTGCAGTGCAGGTCGGCATATTTAGCATATTTTGATGCACCACGTCTTCTCTCAGTTTGACAGGAAGAAGTCTGTGTGACCCCCCGACACACCTGCACAAAAAGTCATCAGTCCATTATGAAGCTTGTTACTGTGATACAATCTCTGCAGACAACAATTGGCTTTGATTGAAAAATGGTCAGGGATGCCGGGCCATCGGATACACTGTGACAAACTTTCATTAGGAGGAGATCTTTTTTTTTTTTTTTCTTCTTCTATCTTTGGCATGAAGGTAAAAGAGATAAAAACATGAACTCTCAGTCTTTAAAGCTACTGTGAGGAACTTAAGGTTGGTTTCGGTTTGATTTTGGTGCCCCCTTTGGATAAAGCAGTACTGCACCTCTCACCTCTTTTCTGACTTTGTAGTGTACATGTGTAAGTAATGTTTTTTGTTTGAAAACTCCATGTCATTGGAGAGGAGAGTTGCCCCTCAACGATCTCTGGAGTATAAATAAAGGTTGAATGAATGAATGTTTCATAACCAGCTCAACACTCCTCACAGGAGCTTGTTAAGCAGCTGAATGCTGCGTGGTACAAAAGACGAGGACAAAAAGAGGCATCACATACTTCACTCAGCATTTAGCAGCTTAACAAGCTCTGATTATACAGTAGGCACTTTGTTCTCTGCACTCCCTCTGACATCCTTTACATGTGATCATGCAACGCTTTAACGATCTGTTTTAGTCACACATTTGAATGGTTTTGTTTCATGTTGTTATGGTTGTTGATGTCTTTGGTCTCTTTTTAAGTAGTCATGTTATGCCTGTCATATTAATAAAAAAGAAAACACCTATATAATATGTAATATAACAAGGATGTTTTTTTATAGGAGATTTTTATATTTGATATCATCCCATAAACAAAGAATTAAGGTTTGATGGACAGGATAAACAGAACATTGTGAGCACCTGGTTATTAAGTCTTGTTTTTGGGGCATTTTTAAATAAAGAAAAACATCAATGTATTCATTAAAATATTCATAATAAATAAATAAGACAAGTCTTTTTTCCCCAGAAGGTTAAAGATATCATTTCATTCCACCCAATGTCACATCTGTAGTATTAGTTACAGCTGTTTGATAACATTTGGAACAGATGTTAGAGAAGCTACCTCTGACCACATACTGACAAGTCTTAGTCCGGGAACCTTTTTTCTTCTTCTTCACTCAATAGAGATAAGATAGAAACTGAATTACTCAAACACAGACCAATTAAAAAAAGACTCATATCTGTTTGAACCCTGTTTTCTGATGTATTGTGTGTTTCACTATAGACAACTGTTTTTCTCTGAATAAAGAGATCTGCTCAGAAGAACCTTAAAGAATCTGAAATCCAGGTCGGATCAACAACTCTCAGCTCCTTTTCCATTAAAGACTTCACGGCATCTGTTCCCTTCTTATTGTTCACTTAAATCCATATGGTTTAGTTGTAGAAGTGTTCTCTTTATTCTGCAAACAAACAGCCGAAACCAAAAAAAACGTACAAAGAACAGAAACTAAAACGTTTCACATATTGTTCCGATCAGAGCATTTTCACTCCTTGTCCTTTGGCCAGACAGCTGCGATCCAAATAGACATTATTCATCAGTAAAGAAATCCAAACTCAGCGGGGGCCCGACATGTTCCAGTGTTTCAGGAAAAGAAGGAAATTAGGAGATGAGTAAAATCAGTTATCTCTGGATCTTGGCTCGGGGAAAAGGACCTAAACAGTATTTTATTTGTTCTTCAAATTGAAGACAATGCTCCGAGTTACGTCTGTTACAACCAGCTGCTGTGTTTGAACGCCACATACATTTAATCAGTGACTTCACTCTCTCAAACCACAGAACCACAGAGACTCTGGCTGAGGACTCGGGTTGAAACAGTTTGCACTATACTTAATTTGTAAAGATGGAATGGAAGGAAAATAAGAGGAACTAGTGCATGACCGAAAGCTTTTGTTGGCTCATGAACACGAGTTGAAAACGCAAACTCAAAGCTAAGTTTGCATGTTGGGAGAGAGTGACAGTTTTTTGTATGAAGAAGAGTAATTTGATATACAAATAAAGTGCTTCATGAGGGACAGACAATCTGCTCATTGCAGTCAGAGTTTTTGTTTTGATACTTATTATCATGTTGTAATAGTCCAAATAGTAAAGTGAAGCACACATAAGAAAAGAGTTTTATGACATGCAGTAAAATGTTTACAGTGAAGCTTTTGAAAGCTTTTGGTCTTTGCTTTTTTTCCTCTGTTTTTTTTTTGTTAGGTTCTCGGGGTGTAAACTGGCCTTTCACTGCGTGTACTCTTTCTAACTTGTGTCTTTAGTCATTAAGAGCAGCATGCTACAGGTCAGACAAATAATGAAAATGTGAGATATAAGAGTCTACTGGCTCTGCTACAGTTACAGAAAAAAAGTAGTTCTGCTTTTCTGATATTTCACAGGACTTGGATCTAAAGTGTATTGGGGTAACGTGTCCATCCTCAGCTGCTGTCATGTTTTTCACAGATCAATCCAACAAGTCTGTTATTGCTTCCATATTGCTGGATCCAGGCAGGATATTTATGCCTCTTCTGCATTGTGCAACATATGGAGGGGTTGGTGTTAAAACCACACACTGGGACGCACATATAACACTGTTGCAGATACAATGTGTAAGTAGAAAAGTATTCATGACGGTGGTGCTGTTTCAGAACAGCCATGTGGAAAGGACTAGTGGTTACTTGTTCATCCACCTTCATGTTATTCATCTTACCCAACCACAAATGCTTCAAATCTTACAGATTCATTTATTTTGAGGTGCATCTTTTTCTAAATGTCAAACATGTCTGCCACTAATTGCAACCAAAGGACAGGAATGGTTGGCGAAGAAATCTGTAGGCAACAAATGACGTGTCGTCACTTCACAGACTTTAATCGGCCAATGAACTACGAGTCTATTTCTCTGAAGATATTCTATCTACTCTTTCTAATGATGTAGCATTGTCAAATATCAAACAGGCAGAACAAATACATCTCAATATGAAATACCCGGTGTATCTTTGTGCTAACGTGCTAACGTACGCTAACTAAAATCAGAGAATCGAAAAAGACCAAGTACTTTGAGTTTTATGTTGTATCACTACACTGATTAACACAAGTCTTAATAAAGACGTGTAATAATGAAGTAAACCTGGTTCTTACCCTGTGTGTTCCAGCTGTGCAGATGCAGAGACGGGGTGCTGTTTGGGGCAGAGGGCGTCTGTGATGGAGAGGAGTTCACTTTCAGGCAGGGTGGGGAGGAGGAGTCGCAGGGCCTCCAGGAGAACTTCAGGAGAAACTTGACTCTGCTTCACCAGCTGAGACGCAAAATCCAGATCCTGTGATGAAGAGCATGACACAGAGCTACCTTCAGTACAGTGTTCTTCTTATCCTGGCTTTACCGTTAGATTAAATATAGAACTGCAAATATCACAGACCTGGTCACAGTTTGCATAAAGTCTCCTGAGCTCCATTTGTTCTTTCAAATATTCTACGGCTTGATTGTTGGCAGTCATTTCTTTCAACCTAAAAACACCAGAGCGTTTCAACACTGTAACATTTATTGGCCTCTGTGGAGCCACAGAATTCCTCTTTACTCCTGAGGTGACATTCCAGCTCACCTCTCAGCCAACACTGTGTTGACCTCTTCACACTTGTAGAGCGCCCCCTCAAGAATGGACGACATCCTGCAGTCCTGCTGCAGCTGGAAAAGTCTCTCCTCCTCGCTCTCCTCCTCTCCCTCGCCAAAGTTCTCACTTTGTGTTGCATTTGACTCCATTTTGGACGTGCACATTTTCCGGCTGTCCAGCTCTGCTTTCTCCTTCTGATGCTGCTGTTCTGCCTCTTCTAGGCCCTGCGGCGAGAATCAAATGAAACTCTAATATCTACAAAGTTCAGCGCTAAAGTGACAAAGCAGGCGATCATGAGCAGTCCTCCGACTGTGTAATCTACAACTAAAGAGTCAAGCTTTGCCTACCAAGCAGTGGCTCTGTATACTCTGGGCCATCTCCTGTCTTTCTGGGCTCTTTCTCTCTCTGATCTGCTGGATGAGCAGGCTGTGCAGAGTGAGTATTGCTCTGGATGTCTCCAACACTTTGGTTCTCCTCTCAGCCTTCTGGTAGTGGATTGTTGCCATCTGCATTGCCAGACTGTCGGCCTGAGAGCGCAGCTCATCCTCTCTCTCACTCTGCATCCCTTCTGTCACCTGCCATGAGGAGAAATTATGGTTTCACTTACAGTATATTGTATGACCCCCCTCTCCCTTGTGTGCACTTGGAAATGTTACTCTAAAGGGGTAAAGCGTCCCCTGAGAGACAGAGAGTTTGACATCATATAGGATGAATTGTCCCTTTTTTCATTTAAAAAATGTTGTATACTGACAAATTCCTTTGAGTGAAGTTTATACGAAATCAAAACAAATAGGACAACAGCTGAACCTTTTTCATGACACCATCCTCCATCTCCTTCTCCTTCTCGAACAGTTCGATCCGCTCCTCGAGCCTTTTCTGGAAAAGCTGTAGGTCAGATGTGTCTGTTTTCTGTCTGGCCTCGCTGGTTTTCCCCCTGGATTGCATACTCGTCTGCAAAAACCACAATAACCATAAGGTGGTTGGGAAATGAGCCTGAAAATGACCCTATGCATAACTGGAACCACTCTGAGGAATCGTTTTGTATTTCTCAATAACAATGTGCATTCATCCAGTCGAAATGAGAATGTTTGTGGTGTAGTTTGACCTTGTGGTAGCTCCAGTTCTTTTCACATAAAAAGCATTGAAGTGCACCATTAACTCAATCTGCTGCTGTTGCTTGATGCACATGGGCTTCGTCCTTTAAATGATCCTCAGAATCATTTTTAAACAAAACAGTATTTACATCATCAGAATAAGACAGATGTGGGTATAGAAACGTCATTCCCTGAATAAAGGAAGAATACAAGGGAACATTTTTAATCATGTCATTTAGCTCTTAAGCTAAACAAAAAACAAACTAAATAATGTGCATGGTGAAAATGATTGTTTTTTTTCCTTCTACATTTTACAATACATAGGTCAGCTGAAAATGTAATTTCAAAAACCATAAGACAATTTTTTATAATTTAATTTGACTGGTCATTCAAACAGAAAACTCATAATCTTTACCTTTTACTACACTGACAGAGTTCCAAATGCATTAAGCAGAAAAACAGACGCCATGAATATTTGACAAAAACAATGTAGTAATTTACCGTCCAAGCCTTTGCCACTGTAACTTTAAGTAGGTTCTTCCAGCTGTAGCCAAAGTAAGCAATGCTCTAATCCTAAATGCAGAGTTTAAAAAAAAAAAAATTGAACAATTGAATAAAATGACATGTGATTCTGTGTTCACCATCTGTTGCTCGCTTTCCATTCTCTGAGCTGCCAGAGCGGTGTGCAGTTTGGTCCTGGAGACGGCGTGGGGCAGCACCAGGCTGCGGTCCATCACAGACAGACACTTCTGAAACTCCAGTTTCATCCTGAGACGTTCATCTTCAGAAAGTGTCAACTGGGATGAACATAAACAACTGAAACATAGGGAGAAACGACTAGCAGTTAAAAACACTGGGGTTTGACCTTTGACCTTTGATGGCTGAGTTTCTTTTGTGAGTTAAAAATGTGAAACAACAATGCAGGATAGTAAAATTATTATTTGTGGGAAATGTGCTGTGGGAGGAATAGTCTGGTGTCTGACCTTTTGATTACTATCTGAAACTCCATCTAAAGTGTGCAAATCATGTGAAACCAAATGTAAAAAAACAAGTTTCATATTATCCAGTAGGAGCTTGTTCTAAATAAATACATTCATTTATTTGTATAATCTATCTACCTCTCCAAGAGAGAACCTGACCAATAGGGAAAACACAAACATTCATTTGTATGAATACTCATAAATAAAAGGGCCGATGTCATCTTTACACTTACCTAAAGAAAGCTCTGAAGTTTTCCCTGAGCTCTTTCTGCTCCTGCAGCTCTCTCTCCATGGCTTCCCTCAGAGCCTCCCTGGTGTTTCTTAGAGTGTGTAAAGCTGCCTTTCCTTCCTGGTGCAACTTTTCTTGACCCTGCAGGAGACCACTTGTTCCTTGTCCTGCCTCTGGTTCTATCTGCAGAAGGGAGCGCTGCGCTCCTGTGGACAACAGTGTTAGCACGGCCTGGTTAGCAGAGGGCTGGATAGCTTTGAGATCTGTTATGGAGCCCTGGATCACACGCATGGTCACCTATTGGACAGGATTAAAACATGGAGCAAATTAAACTCTACAACTGAGAGGTTTATTTGTATGTGTTTTGAATGTATTTCTTTTGAATTAGGTCATCAATGTGCCTGAAGTGTACTGTCAGTGTCACCTTGCGGATGTCAGCAGCGGCCTCCTCATCCAGGTTGTTGATGAGCTCTGCCAGCTCCAGACCCTGAGCTGTCAGTAAGTTCTGCCAACAGTGCAGGTGCTGAGCTACATCTATCATTCCCTCCAGACCTTTAGAAAGACCTGACAGATCCTTCTGTCTCTGTTTGTGAACCCGCAGCTGGAGAAAGCCAAGTGAAATTGAATTATTATTTTTTTTTAATCTAATGCAGGTGTTTGGAATAAAAGCCTCAACATGTATGATCTCCTCACCATGTCAGAGATGAGCTCCCGTCTCTTCTTAATCAGTCCACAGCGCATGGCTCCCCTCTCCTGACTCAGTGCCTCATCCACTCTCTTCCTCACCATCACCAGCTCCTTCTGGGACTTCTCCTGTAGCTGCTCTATCTGCTCTGCAGGCACAATGCTCCCCCTGGTGGAGAGATGTAGGTAAGACATTGGAAGAGGCTGCCCTACAGGTAGAGCTAGTGAAAAAACTTCTGTTTGGTGTTACTTTCTGTTCAATACTACAAAAACAGATTCACTTTTTAACATGTTCACACTTCTGTAGAAGTTTATTGTGCTACGTTAGCACAACTATTGATGGATGGTAACCAACCACGTGATGTCACTGCTGGTAACTACGATGGGCCCTGACCTCCTGATGTGAGTGAACCAGCTGTCCAAACTGCTGGAGGTGCTGGAGAAGGCGTCAGAAATCAGGCTGTTGAGGCTGTGAAGGCTGTGCACTAAGAACTTCCTCTGTGCATGACGCTCAGACAGCACATAGCGCTGGTTAGCAAGGACAACATCTAGCACCTCCTCTAGCTGATCCTGGACAAAAAAGGAAAGGACACATCTCATATCAAATCTCATTATTTTATTTTTTTTATGTTTTGCTTCAGCAACAACCTGTTGGATAATGCTATTAAATAAAAAATTTATGCACTTGTAATAATGGCAAAATAAATAAACACGAGCATGCAGTGAATAAGTGATCTTATTTGATTTTTTTAAGGTTTATAAAGTGCTTTAGCATTCAAGCAAAAGTGTACATTAGAAAAATATGTTTTACTGTAATCTTGATTAAGATGTTAGGGGTTGGAATTAAGTACTTTTCATAAAAGTTGCAGAAACAACACAACTCCAGCTTTAAAAGTTTCACTTGTGATTACGTCATAAAAACAGGGGAGCCGCCTGTGTGGAAAGGCTGTTGTTGATAACGCAGTCAAATTTAGAGAGTGCAGCATAACATCCGCGGTAACCAGATGCACAAAATGATCAAATAACAGCATTAAAACATTTAAATGTAACTTGTGACATCATACTCCAATCTTTACATCTAAAGTGAAACGTAACAGCAGACATCGTCCTCTCTCTCATACAAATGCTACTCGCAGCACTATCTAGAGTAGTACAGAGCAAGGGATGACTGTCCACAAGATAGATGTTTTTAAAATATATCTTTCTTTTTTTTAAACAGTCCAAAAGTATACATTTGTGGCTGTAAACACTGTCATGGATCATTTAAATCTCATGAGTTAACATTCAGCATTCCAGATAAATCTGGTAGAACATGAATTAGTTCAACATTTAAATAGTAAACTCAGTACTCTGACACTATATTTTTCACTTACTTGACAGGTGAAGTAATCATGCTGAAGACTCTTGGTTGTACTCTTCTCCAGTTCGCCCATCCTGGTGGCCTCCTCCAGCTCCTCGGAGAAAATCTTGTGCAGCTCGACCCGACGCCACTCAATGATCTGCCTCTGGACCTTGGCTGAAGCTTCCTCGTGTCGGACCAACAGGATACGCTGGAGCTGATTCTGGCTCAGCTTGTGCAGCTTCTCAAGGAGGACGCTGCAGCGGAGGAGTTCCTAGTGACGGAATGTAGTGGTGTTTGAAGTAAAGGCTACTCTAAAACGTTTTTAGCTCAAGTATCAAAAGAATAAAAACCAAGCCAACTTTTGAAACAGTTGATTCTTATAACCTGTTGGTCTGCATGATGACACAGCAGCTTGGCCTGGGTCTTCTCAGCAGCTTCTCTGCAGTGCTCTGCCTCCATTTCTTCCCGAGTCTCCAGGTTGCACCGGCCAGCCAGAGCAGCCATGCGGGCCCCTCGCTCCTCCTTCAGCCGACCCTCCATGCCTAGCAGCTGCCCGTGAAGAACACTGAGCAGCCTCTGCTGGGCCTGGGTGCTGGCCTGGCCTTTGCACCGTAAGCTGCTCAGCAGCGAGGACATCACATCCTTGTAGATCTGAATCCGGGTGTTCTCCAGGTTATTGGTGGCATGCAGCAGCGTAGACATTTCAAGGCTTAGAGAGAATTGTAGAGTGAACGTTTATGTTACATTAAAGTTAATTGAGCCTAATAGAGACTTATCTTAATCCACTTTGACAACTCTACTCACTTCTCCAAAGCTTGGTACATGTTCTGGGGATCCTCTAGAACCATGATGTCCACCACCTTGTCTTCAAATGTTGCCTCATCTTTTACGCTCTCACTCATGTTGCAGTCTGCATACTCTGGGTCTGAATCACCTCTGTTTCTCTGAAGTAAGAAAACATGTTTGCATTTTGTACACAGATCATGAACTAAACCTTTAATGATGTAAAAAAGAGCAAAATACACTGAACTCCTTTGATTAAAATATCAATAAAATAATAACTCTTATCGTATCTAACAGATCAGTGCTTTTTGACTTGGTCATTCAAATAAAGAGAAAGACAATCTGTGATACCCTTTGCTGAAGAAGGTTCAGTCTGGTTCTTGGACCTATCAAGTTGATGGCCAGTAATCCCACTGACAGCAGCATCAACGTTACAAATAAGCCCACAACGAATCCAGCAAAATGGACCCCATGGTTTGGAAAAATCTGAAATTGTGGACAAACACATCGCACTATTTATCAAAATCATTTTGAGAACAAAAATGTGAAAACCAATAAGAAAACATGCAGGGCACTAAGCTGAAGGTGAATGGTCCTCAACTCACTCTGTTGGTGGAATTCACCCTCAAGGTCAGATTAGCTGTTAAAGGACCGAACATACTGACGTCATTCTGTGGAGACGAGAACAAAACTCTGGGTTAGAACACGATGCTGTGATTGAACTTTAAACATTGAAATGGTGAAAATGAATAACAGATTTTGTTGAAACAAAAAGTTTCAAGTTTGGGAGAATACTTTTTAAGGTTAAAACAGCAGAATGTAGCTGGAGAGAAAAAACAATACCTGTGAGGCATTAGAGAAGGTGAGAAAAGCTGGAAGATCCAGGACTTCACTCTTATGACTCCTTATGTTAGCTGTATAATTGACTATTACTTTGGATCCAGCTGAAGAGGTAAAAAGTATATTCTGTTATTGAGTGTGGATGCAGCATGCAGAAAATTAAAACACTTACACATTTTTGAAGAAATGTTTTGTAGGATTATAAACATAAAATGAACTCCCACACTTACCAGACAGAGTATCGATGGCAAATGTCTGGTAGCCTCTTTCCACCACTCTGCCTTCAGTTTTTAGGGCTGCTATTCCAGAGATGGAGTCCCTGATAGCCACCTGAGACAAGTTGGTGCCCCCAGCTTGGCCCAGGTTGTGAATTAGGAGGAAGAATGTCAGCTGAGGTGGATCAGTGTTGAGCTTCACCTGAGGAACATATGTTGGTGTAATAAGAGTATGAATCACTGGATAATCTCCAATGTGTTGATTTACAGTTCCATACATTTAAATTTAGAAAGAACAATTTTCATCTTCTGACACAAGTTTCTTTACAAACCTGTGCACACTTGTGGAATTTGACCCCAAATGTAGATGGAGGTGCTGCACTCTGAACCTGCAGAAACATAAAGGGAATGAGACATTCCATCATCTTAAAACAATATTAGGTAAAATATCATGTTGGCATGATATTCATTCATTGATTGTAATTTGGACAGACCATCCAGACATTTATTGTATGCTTTTTGAGTAAGGGGCAGGCAAAACAAGTGCCGTAAGTAAATATATTCTTCTCCCTGCTACTTTCCGTACATGGGATAAAGTGTGAATTGTTTTTTTATTTTTATTTTGACATGTACGGAACAAATTTAAAAAATGAAATGAAATGTTTCTACTACATGGTTGATCTGTTCAGAGCTTTATGTCCTAACAAACACTACACATACAAGTTTGTAGAAAAAATAAACAATCTCATTAAGTTTGGACAAATACCAAAGCAATCAAAAGACTTTATAGAAACACACCTGAGGCAGAGTGTGCCCTGGGTTAATTCTGGTGAGTGTGCTTCTTTTGCTCCTGAAGTGCAACATGTTTGACAAGTAGGTAAATGAGGAGTAAAAGGAGTGTCCCCATGGGCCAGCAGGAGCTGACGAGGAGAGTGGACCCTCTGAGGAAAACGACAGCGGCCAGTTGAATTCCAACGTACCTGTCAGGTTAGATTATGGCATTAAATGTACAAATGTTTAGATTGATCATGACTAAATGAATATTGACATGAATACCTAATAATAAGGTTTTATAAATTGACCAATGCACAACATGCTGTTAATATAACAGTATGAATATCATATGTTATTATCATGTGTTATCATACATTGTGAAATTCTTCACATAATCATTTGTACACACACAACATTAAAACAGCCGAATAATTAGCCAGTACTGAGCTTTCAGTTTTATTGTTCCAAGTTTATCATTGATATAAAAAGAAAAGGACAAACCATTTATTCTAAGCAATGCCATTTCTTTTAATTTCCTGGCAGAGTCATCTTGTTTTACATGGATCCTGGAGAAGCTCTAACAAGGGGAAATGGGCATTAAGCATTGCAAATTTCATATTACAACTTTTTATTTACCAAATTTAAAATGACCAATACCTAATGAAAGTCTAAAGACAGTGATTCCTAGGCTTTTAATGTGAGGGACTATAAGGGACAAAAAATGACTAAAGTATAAATAAATAAATGTTGGGAGAAATGCATACAATAATGTATAAATAAATAAATGCATGAATAAATATATAAATAAATATATAAATGCTGAAAACAATACATCAATGAATAAATAATGAATACACTTTGTTAATGAAAAAGGCTATTTATATATTTTTACATGTATTTATTCATTTATTAGCGTATTTCTACAGTTATATATGTATCAATGCATACATTTCCACATTAATTGAGTTATTAATTTATTTCCGTATTTTTACATTTACAAATCTATTTATTTCTGTGTCCAGGTCGTAAGAGGAAATTTTAATTTGCTTCTGTCTGTTTTTCAAAATTGATCAATCTTACTTCAGTAATGTTAGGACGGCCCACTTAATTTATATATTTACTTTTCCTTGTACAACATGGACACAGAAATACATAAATACATAAATAAATATATTTATTTACATATTAATTTTTATATGAATTGTTGCATTTATTTAATTATTTATTGATTTATACTTCAGTCATTTTTTGTCCCTCATAAAGGACCACCTTTGGCAGACGGAAATATTTTTACTCACCTCCTGTTTCTCCATCAGAGGAAGGGGTGGTCGTGTTGTGTACCATGATGTATCCTGAGATACACAGTCATAATATGCCTGATGTCCAGCACTGTAGTCATGGATATTCAAGATAAATAACCAAATCGTGACCCCCTTCCCGTTAAAGTGTACCTGAAGCATTCGTAGGTCGGTGTGCCACCCTCACCAGGGAGAGCCTTTAGCTAACGGGGTGCATTGTTTGTCAATGTTAAAATACGCCTTAAGAAAAGTAATTTCCTGAGAACCACCCATTGTAGCTGCGTCTCTGACGAACGATAATCGTACTTGTTTTCTTTTATTTCAGAAGTTGAACTCTCCACGCAGTTTTTAAAGATTTAACCATCTCAACGTCCATAATATCGTCGCTGCACAACTTCGGGAAAACATTTCCAAAACTTTGGAAAAGTGAACAACTAATTCAGGAACGTTAGGAATAATGTACGTCTGCTTCCAGTCGTGTTTTTCAAATTAAAAGACCCAGGACAAGTTCGCAGCGGGATATGAACTTAATAAACAAAAAAAATAATGTAAAATGGCACCGTTAAAGTATGATGATATTGTCTAGTATTCATAGAAGTGAAAATGTTGTCAAAGCGGGTAATTCAATCATTTATTAACGGTGCAGGTTTTTCCTGGTACTTTATGTTGAATGAAGAATCATGTTGTTTCCGGTCATAACTTGGCTAGCTCTGCTGCCTCTTCAATCTCAGCCCACCCATTGGTTGAGAAGGAAACAAACGTTACTGTTTTGGGTGAAAAGTACCGTTTTGTTTTAAAAGCAGACGGTGTATGTTTATATCCTTGGAAGTCTTTAAAGCAGAAAAGCATTACAACTCATATGTCAGCAAAACACGTGTTTCGTGTGTCGATGGACGTTTAAGAAAAAGATGGTAACGTTGTTTTTCACGGTTGTTCCCCTCCATTGAAACGACGTGATGGAGAAAGAAATGTCTGCGGAGTGCAGCACTGATGTTCTGGTTAGTTTCGGGGAGTCGCTGCACATTTACACAGGACTTTTAACAGTGTCCACAGTGTGTGGAGGGCTGTCGGGAATATTGGCTGCTGCTCTTCTGTATGTCTTCTGCCTGAAGCCTTTGCTGTTGACAAGACAAGTAAGCAAACTAAATGCAGAATTTTACCAATGAACAAACCTGTCTTTGTTAATTATTATTTGAGGTGCCCATATTTTCATGTATGGTCCCTATTATAGGGTTATAATGCAAGGCGGCTGCTTGAACCTGAAGATGGAGAATTGGACAACAACCAAAGTGACCGTGTCAGCAACAGCAGAAAGGAGGCTCCAAGTGGCACCGACAATGACAAAGTATTAATCATTTAAACGTTGAATTGAGACGTGTTGTTGCTTCACATAGGTGGATGTGCTTGTTACATAGAATCTCTTATAGTATGTTGTCAAAACCTGGAAATGCAAACCAAGAGATGCTTCTGTTATCCAGGGTTGCCTTGTTAATTTCCCACTTGACCATAACATGTGTGTACTTTGTTTCCAGGCGAAGAAGCAGGCACCTGTTAACAGTGATGTGGCTGCATTTGCCTCCAGAGCAAAGGTGGTTTATCCTATCAACCAAAAATACAGAGTAAGTCATCGTAACATAGCATCATACATGTTAAGCACAACAGCAGAAAAATACTGACAGACGTCCCTGTTTTTTTAGTGTATTTCTTTTGTTTTTATCAAGCATAAATACTTGAATATTTTTCAGTTTAACTTTATTTTATTTAAATTCAACATTTAGATTTTTCAGCATAAAAAGGCGAGTTTAGCAACATTTTACACAAAGTGCTGTTAGATTCAAGTGGATCAATAACAGCGTATAGTTAATAGTGAGGTTTATGAGATGTTGTAATCAGTTGGTTTATGATTGCACCTCACTGTATTTAAATTGTCCTGAACACCTACTGTAATTACACTCATATCTTACCTGCAACCTTACACTTGTTCTGCCAGCCATTAGCAGACGGAGCATCCAATCCATCACTCCATGAGCACTCCAAGCTGCCAGCCGTGCCAAATGAGCAGTCATCCTTCTCCTCAGACGGAGAGTCTCTTAGCCAGGAGCAGGACAACGATGGCAGCAGTCAGTTTATCTCTTCCTCGCTTGTCCCTAAAAGCCTGCAGAACCAGAGCTTCACCAGAGTCTCTCACTACCCCCACACGCTGACTAAACCAGGGTATGATCCAGTAGTCTAAATGTTCAGCCAAAACCAAACACCTTAACCTTAGACACAATATGCCCGACCATAGTTTGTTGGTAGTAACATTTCTCTTTGATCTGTAGTTTTGAAGGTCGGATTAGTCTTTACTGTTTGGCGCTACAGGATATACAACACTATTGCTCCCAGACTCAAGAAGAAAAATACCAGGTGAGGTTTTGTAATTTTTAGTTTTGTATTTAAATACTTACAGATTATGTTCCTAACGCCTGTTCAAGTTAAATAAAAGTTATTTGCTTTCAACTATTGCTTGCTGGAAAAACAGATTTTCCTACAGATGGTCAAAATGATATTCAGCAGCCATTTTCCAAAAGACCAAAAAGAAGCTGACTTCTCCAAGAATATTCTACAAACGCAAGAAAAGGTAAGGAAAGGTGTCTGTTACCAGCAAATAGATTTTTCCACTCCTCACATGTACTTTGTTCTTTCTTTATGCAATCTGTACATGCATAATATATTCTGGTTGCTGTTCTGACTCACTGTATACAGAAATACAAACTTTTGTGTTTTATACCTTAAAAATGTCACATGTCATTTTAGGAATTGAATGCACTGAAGAAACAATTACTAACAGGTCACACTGTCCGTGAGGAAAATGCAGATGATCCCTGTACTTTGGAGGAGATAGAGAGAACTCAGAAAGATCTTATTGAACGCAGCCTTCAAGTGGTAACAGTCGAGATTATATACATTTTTTAACTTTTATACTGTAACTAATAATATTTGACCTGATTTACTCACACTCTGATTGCAAAGGGAAACCTTATGTCCATGTTTCCTTGCAGGCTAAGCATTTCAGCAAACAAGTGGAGGACTTGTGTCAGCATCTGCTGGGAAAAAACAGCATTTTCTCTCCAGATGAAGCCCAGGAGGCGATCAATTCACTTGTCCAGACTCTTCTGTTTGTAGAGAACCACCTGATGAACTCTCAAGATGCTGAGCTAAAGGTAAGATACTACATGATATTCTTTGGAATGGCATTCATTCTGTTGTTAATTATTTTTGCTGCCCTGTGAGGAACCAGATATCCATAAAGAAAAAAAAAATGAACATATTCTCTGCCACATCTTTTAGAGGATCCAGCAGAAGTTGTTGTGGTGGGAGGAGCTGACGGGGCTCCTTCAGTCCCAACCTGCCTTGCTCTGGCAGGAGGTGTGGCTGAGGCAGGGGTTGATAGCAACAACACTAGAGCAGCTGACAAGCGATGACATATTGACCTTTAGCCAAATGGAAAAGATTCTCTCAGAGATACAGGCAACTCTGGCTGAAGGCCTCCAGCGGTGCACTCAAGGTAAGATGAGTGAAGTGAAAATAGTTCCAGTTTCATGAAAGTAGATTTACTGCAATGAGGTGATGTCAAAGGGCAGTTGACAAAAACATATTGGTATTTTGTTGAAAGCTTTTTGTGGGTTTAAAGGGAATCTAGTGAAGGAGTTGTGCTAATACTTCTCTACTGTGTGTAAGATTCTTGTAGCAGGAAGAAATGGATCATGTCCAGCCTACTTTTCAGACTTAAATGACGTCATCCTTTAAAATAGACCGTTGTCTGGGAGTCTTCCTCTACCTCTTGAATAAGGCCAGGTGCTTTGAGGACAGCCCAAAATATCATACATATATCATGCTACTGCATCCCAGACACTGATGCAAAATCTTGACACTTGTTACAGTTTGTTGCTGCAGAATTACTGTGTAATAATAGCTGTGATGGTCAAAATCATTTAAGTCATAAGGCATGGTTCTTAATCTTTTGTCCCATTTATATTTTAAAATGTAATGATTTTCTCACGTGGATAGAACCCCCCCCCCCTTCTCACCCAAGTGCACGTGCTGATTGAAAGTGAGAAAAAGCTTTTAACTGTGATTTTTTTTAAATTATAACATTAAGGTGTATAATAATATGTTTTTTGCCTTAGAATCCTAGACACAGATTCTTTCCAGACATGACCTTTGCTCTCACACTGAACAGCTTTAGAGCAAGAGTCAAACAGTCCCTTGTTTGCTACTTTTACAAAAAAGATAAAATAAAAATCATAGAAATAAATTTTTATACTGAGGCATTTGGTTACCTTTGCAAACTGATACTATTTTGAAAATGCTCAACTAGTCAAGCAACCCAAAAGTTGATTGATCGTGTTTCAGAGTGCAAAAGAAAGACAAACGAGCTGGTAAATGAGAAGTGCAGCAGACTGGAGTCCAAGAGGAAGAAACTTTTGAGGAGCCTGACCAAGGAGAAGAGCCGTACCCAAGAACTAAGACACAACCACACAGACCTGCAGCAGCTCACCAAGGTCAGGAAATGTCAGATCAAAGATTACTGCTGTGTATTAATGTGTTTAATGAGCACACAGACATAAAACCTTCATGGTTCATAACATCTTTGTTAACATAAAACTAATACTCTTAGCTTTACTGTACAAGTTATCACATATATTGAAGAAAAGATAGACAACGAAGGCTCCATCATTTTATTCTTGATCTACTGATATGTCACCTTTCCCACAGGTGCACCAGGAGCAGCTGCTGAAACACAGGCAGCAGATCTCTGACTTTGAGCTGCAGCAGGACAACCGGCTGACTGAGGCCCTCTGTGACCACTGGAAGGTAAAGGGCTTAATGATACTACTGTAAATCCTGTATTCTGTGTGCACACGTTTGCCTTTGTATTTCCGTTATATTGCCGTGTGTTTTGTCCTTTTAGAAGCTCCGTACCTCCTGGTCAAAAAAGCTTGGAGAGCTAGCAAAGGGCATTTTTCTCATCTCTGTCCCTGCTCAGTCAGAGCTCTCTGTTGAGCGCTGTGTGGAGCTGTGGTCAAATCTGGAGGAGGAGCTGGTTGCACAGCTGCAGCAGTCAGAGTGCACTTCCAAACTGCAATTGGAGGACATAAGGGCTCAGCTGGATAAGGATGGACAGGTAGACATCACGTGGCACATGAAATTCATACAGCCTGTTTTGTTAGTTCTTAAGGTGTTAGACTACTAAAAGACTTTGACTGAGCCTCTTTTTGCATAGGTGTGGAGTGAGGAGATGGCTCTGGTTCAGGCCTGTCTCAAACATCTGAGTGAACAACAGATGAAGATCTTACGAGACATGTTAGCCAAACAGAGCTACACACTCAATTGGTGAGCTTGGAAAATATACTGTTTGTAAAAAGTATTCCTGACATTTGAGTTTGGGATACATTCACTAACTCTGCACTAACAACTGATTTACATCACTATAGTGTGACCACAATAATATCAGGTTTCATTTCCTTTTCAACAAATAAACTTCACAGGTAAAGACACACAATCTGAAAGATGAGACACCCCAGAAAGAAAGACATCACATTTAATCCACACATCAAACAGACAAGCTCAACCTCAGTATTTCTGTATCTCTTTGAGTTAAATGACATTTTTTTCACTGTAAACTGTAAGTAAGTACACATTATGTCACCCAATTCTATTTTACTGCAACTGAAACTTCACCATCAGAGTAATCATTCAGTGTATGTCAATGCGATTGCAATTTCCTTGTTGATTTCACTGTCCATCTGTCTAATAAAAAAGTACAAGGAAGACAGTAATTATTATGAGTGTCTTTGAAATAATGCCATATTCTTTATTTTTTAGCCAAGTAGCAAGGTTGATAGAGAGGAAACATGAGCACCTGTTGGTGATGGTGCAGAGGCATTTTGTGGTCAGGCACTTCAGTCTTCACATGCTAAAGGAGATGAGGCTGTCCAAGCTGAAGGCACTCTCTCAGACTGATTTCAGAGCTGAGCTAATGGAAGATCCCATTAAAAGCCAGACCTGTGTCAGTTCAACTCTTAAGGTGGGATAAATGTGTTTAAATATTAATATATTCTTTGAAGCACTTCAAAACAAAAACCGAGTTTCAAGCCATGGAAAAAGGTGTCAAGCTGAAGTTGACAGCAGATTGATGTAATCCCCTGCCAACCACAGAACAGCAGTGTCAGCCTAGCAGAGAGACATCTGGGTCCAGAGAGTCAGCTGGTGGGCCACAGCTTCCAGCAGGAGTTCCTGTCTGAACTGGAAACAGGGACAGAGCTTCTTCAGAGTCACGCACAGCTGGTGCTGGGCAACGCGATCGGCCACACAATCCAACAGCTGATGGAGACCACACACACGGATTCACAGAGCTCTCTGAAACAGTGCGACAGCTTCAAGGTGAGCTTTAAGTTGTTGCTTGTTGAGGATCATTCCATGAATCTCTGAAGATGAATAACCTCTCTTTTGCTCTATGTATGTTTGTCAACCACATTTCCTTCCGTTAGCACCACCTGATAGAGGCTGCCTCAGAAAGTGTGTATGTAACCAAAGATTCTCTCACTGCAATCGTCCAAAGCTACCATTCCCAACTACAGGACATAATCAAACAATTACAGCAGGATCAATCAAATGTACATCAGGGTGAGATGACAAACACAATGAACATGCACATCTGTATGAGCTCTGACATTGACTGTATACCAGCTTTGACCCTACTCCTTCCCTAGATGGATTGCATTAAATTCATGCTACATTCACAGTATTCTGTTAAGTCAAATATCTAAAATACTTCAGTTTTGTTAGACTTGGTGCACAACCAGATTAATAGGGGTTTGCAATTTCTGTAATTGCAGTTTTGAGCAGATACAATGCAAGTCACAAATACTTCTATTCACATTCTAAGTGAATGTTACTCTTGTCACCCTTTCTTTTAGTGGTGAATGAGGAAGAAGAGAACAGCAGTCAGCTCCACAAATCCTTGCTGAGAGAGTTGGCGAACTGGGGCAAGAAATCCACCTCTGCTGAGTTTCAACAAAGGTACAGGTGCTCATCACACTGCTTGTCTGCACTTCATTGTCCTGTCATTCTTCATTCAATATTCATTTGGTTAATTTCCTATTCTTTTCTTTTCTTCTCATTCAGGGTTGAACACCAAAAAAGGAAGGCTTTGGAGCAGTGTGAGCTAGAACAGGAAAAGATATATGAGGAACTGAGGCTGAAGAGAATAGTACAGGACCAGACCATGGAAAAGATCAAAGCACAGCTGCTGGTTAGTATGTTTCATGTCCGTACCCTCCTGCTAGATTTTAAATGTCTTGCTTACTTGTATTCTGTAAACTCTTCGATGCTGTGGCCATCAGGACGCTGAAGAAAGCTTTATAACCAAGCTAGCAGCCTTGGCCCGGATTTCCCTCCACAGTCCAGACTTAGTTCCCAGCGAGGAGGAGGACAACACAGGTAAATATGTAACTAGAAAAAAAAAGACTTATTCTCCCATTCCTATGTATCTGTCCTTCATGATGTCACATTTCAACAGGTACTGAGAGTGCTAATATACTGGATCTGCTTTCCCGGAACCCAGCTTTGGATCCAGCCTTGAATCCTTCACTGACTCCAACATATGTAACTCCAGTGGTGAAGTCAAAACCAAAGAAGAGAGAACAAGACTCTCATCACAGCTGATATCTAATCTACAGAAGCCCTAAACTGACATGCATCCATACATTTAGTTTGCTTTATTTTCCTGTGAAAATGAGTTATTGGCGGTCGTTTTCTCAAGCTCTCAAATTAATCAAAAATAATTTTGCTCTCGTTATCTCAAGAAAGCAACAATTGTTTTCCTGTGATAATGACGATAATAACGAACGACATACAGGAATATTTAATGTCCTTGTTTCAAAAGAACAACGCTTGTTAATATGCTGGTTACTGTGATAGGCCTTTGCTCATAGCTGCCAGATAAGTAAGATGAGATCTCAAGAAAACAACCAGAAGTGATTGATCACATGAAAACAGTACAGAGTACATAAATGTATGGGTGCCTGTAGGGTTTCCATTCTTAACACAGTAACATTTACACATTGCTGTAGCTGTGCCCTGTAAAAAATGATTTTTTATTGTAAGTGCCTCACTAAGTAACTACACTGTTTCTCTGTATCAATATTGTGGTTAGGAAAGTAGTGCAGGCTTGTTTTTATGAAGCAATAAGGAACCTTCCCTAATTTCTCTGTAAATGGTCTGTCCTCTATAAGTTTAGATGTGTGCTTGAAGTGTCAATATTTCCTTTTCCCTCAATTATATTTGTGTACATGTCATGAACAAGCAATATATGGCTCTATAAAGATAATGAAGCAGAATACCTTCTGAGAGATTTATTCAACTGTTCTTTCTTTTTTTTATCGGGTATATAGATACAGGCCTTCCAGTAATTCAGTCCTATACCTACCATACACCCACATAGCTTTTCATACAGCGGCTCATTCACTGCATTGATTCCTGAGCACACAAGATGATGGATGTGCTGCTTTGTGGGTTGTCAGGTGTATTAGAGATGTCCATTGTGATTCTAGCAGAGTGCTGCTACTCAGCGATGAAAGCTCTGCCCCTCTCCTGCCCTAATGGGGTTTTAAGTACAAGCCTTTATGGATGGTAATGCAGAGTAATGGTGAAAAGTCTGGGAGGGCTGCAGTCTGGCCGACAGATCCGTGTGTAGGTAGCAATCTAGCAGGCAATTTACCCTCGACCTTATGGTTTACTGTCAGTTTGGAGTTTCAGGAGTGTCAATTAGCAAACATCAATTTTTAATATGTCTGTATTAGCCCTGTGCTCAATTTGCACACATAACCAATTATCGCTGTGGTACCTTCAGAAAATATGCCCTTGCACCTGACCACTCACACACTGGGATGTCCTGCCAAGAGAGTGTGTCTACTGTTATGTTTCAATCTAATATGTGGGTGTACTGTTGACTTTGAATGTGTCGCTGATCTATAGTGAGGGGAAACCGTTTGGATGTTTTTAGGTCCCCTAGGGGACAGCAAGGACTTGTGGGAAGATGACCTGATTTCTAATTTTCTCTTCTCCTGCCTGTGCTGAGGGCTAGTCGCTGCTACAAACAGAGAAACCCATGAAAGGAGTGTGTCAGTACAGTATGAGTAGCCCCGGATCTATCTGGAATATGGCCTCGCTATTTGCATTACTGGATTTAATTTGACATTCTTTCATGGACGCTGGCGTGTTTGTGATAGTCCATCAATAGATTCAGGTAAGTGAAAACCCCATCACCAATCTCACTTAGAGCATTATCTTTAGTGAAACGTTAACAACACAAATAGCATTTCCAACTCTGACTTGTCATTGGTGTTGTCAAGGCTGTTAAACACAGCAGGGTACTCGCAGTTGCACCTTATTATTATTGCAATGTCCTTTTGCGTCATATCTTTTTTTTTAAACATGCCTGGAATAAAACAACACAATGCATGTTTGCAAATTCATCGAAACATCCAGCGTTTTTTTTTTTTTTCAGTATAGTTGCGAGTATGCCTCCAAGCAGATAATAAATGACAGGATTAATTGAGGTAAAATGTGCGCAGTATGACAGCGTCATCAGATCAGATGGTCGGTTATTTTAGGGCCCAAGAATAAGGTCGCTTTGCAGACTTTCACTCAAAGGGCTTTTTCCATCCTAGATGGCAAAGTCTGGGCTACTTCGATCATTGTCAGAAATTCTACCAATGTAGTCTTTGCTGACTAGGTCATAGTATTTGATACTGTATGTTTTAAGTTGAACTTTTATCACCTAGAAAATGGATAACATTTGAACTACTATTATGATTCTACTTCTGTTAGTGACAATGAATAAACTAACATTATTCAGGTATATAGTAAGAGAACATTGTATATGATTTAAGAGAATGAACAAATATAAGACAACATATTAAAACATAATTTTTGATATGTTCTGTAAAAATAAACATTTTGTAAACTAAGTCATATTATTTAGAGGTGTTATGGCTTAACCGATGTGACTCAAATTTCACCCATGATCTTATTTTAATTTTGTAACATTTCCTTTGTTTCCATTATATCGTTTGTGGATTTTTGTTTGAGACATTTAAGACACTTTGAACTAGCTTTATGTAAGTAATTGCTGACTACCTTGCAGGTGTGCAGCCATGGCTAACCTGCAGCAGGAATACCCCGGGGTCCTTCTGGGCATCCTGGAGGAACTGGCCAATATGCGTCAATGGCTGACATTTCAGGATCTCTGTCGCATGGTCAGCACTCGTTTTGACCTGGAACACCTTTTTGAGCTTAGGAGTTTACTGTTTGCAGCTGCCAGCCGGGACCCTTGTTTCCCAGCTACTCTCTTTAGAGACAGGGTTTCCACCAGAGGCCAGGGGCTTTCACCTATAGGGGTCGCTGCTGACATTGTAACTATCTTCAATCTTATTCAGATGACGGGTGGGGCTCCAGATGAAAGCCAACCAATGAGAGCACACATGGTTCTCCCAGTCGACCAATCCCCAGGCCCCAGTCTGCCAGGAATCTATCAGCTGAACATTGCTGGTCTAGAACGAGCACGAGCCCTCTCTGACTCAAGTGACAGGCCTATTGACCAGCACCTGCTGTTTCCAAGACCTAAGTACTCGGCCCGCAAGCGAGGAAGTCTTCCCCCAGATCCTATTTCCCTTGTGTCTCCTCCTCCAATCAGGGCTAGGGCTGTGTCTTTTGACTTGCCTCATACCACACTTCTGTACCCTAGTGGTCAATTCCCTAACGAGGGGATGAAAAATATCTACCTGCCTCTGGAGACGGACAGCGAGTCAAGTGGAGATTCTGCACAAATGGAGGTGTTTGAAGTCGAACAGAGTTCAACTGTTGACCAGAAGAGAAACGTTTTCAAGAAGGACTTCCACAACCAACCCCCTCTGATACCCCAGGTGACCGTTAGCAGTGAGTCTCCAAGTCCCAATACGGTGAAAGGATTTGACAATCGCAGCTTTGAAATGATTCCCAATCCTTACCCATCACCATCACCAACACCAATCCAACAAACACCAGAGCAGCGGGCTAAACATGAGAGCCTTGACGACCTACAGGACTCAACTTACTTCGGACCAGGGTCTATCCCAGAATGGTCCCCTCGTCACCTTCAGCCACCCAAGACTAAGAAGCCCCTCTGGAGCAACAAGAGTCACAGTCTAGAGGACCGGATAGGCTCCAGCATTGGAATGGGGTTGGAATCCAAAGGGGCACAACTTCCAAGGCGATCAACCCCAGCTATTAGCAATTTGAGGGGGTTATCAATGGGTGAGACTATAGATAGTGGATTTTTAAGTGGATTCGAAGGAGTCAGGGCTAAAGGAACCCAGACAGACCCACCAGACACCCGGCGCCTTCGTAGCCTGGTCCATGCAGATCGCCTATCCTTCATGACCTCCTTAGATGACCCAGAATTTTGTGAGGATGACATCAGTGTCATCTTTCGCTTCTTAGATGATATAAGCATGTGTGGTTCCACGGGGGTTCTACATCCCAGCGAGGGCTCAGCAGGTGTTAATCAGGACACTCCTGAGGCAAGACGAGGACGTCTCGGTCAACTCCAAAGGCTTTTCCACTCACTAGAAAGCAGCGATGATGGGCTCAAGGCAAGTGTCTGTAAACTGCTGCTCCGTATGAGCCAGATAGAGAGACAACTAGATTCGCTGAATGATGTAAAGGCTGAAATCTCCCAGGTGCTATCAGCTCTGCAGCGACTGGATGACAAGATTCAACAGCCACTCAGTGGTGGTGGACAGAGCACTGGTGGGCGATGGTTGGAGCCTCTCAGCGGTGTCTCATCTTTTATGAGCCACCCTCTAACCCCCTCTGACTCGTCAGAGCCTCAGCCTCTATCTGCTTCAGGGCATCTATTTCCAGCGACCAGCACTAGTAGTCTGGAATGGAGCAGATGCTACACTCCTGGGGAACAAACAGAAAGCAGCAAGGTTCAGGTTGATTCAAAGGGTAGGAAGGAAGGGAAGAAGGATGCATCATCTCGGCGTACCTCAAAAACCCAGCTTGAGGAGAAAAGTGTGACTGAATCCAAACAGCTGAATGTTTCGAACTCTGCAAGAGACTGGACAGTTTCATTCTCAAAAAGCAAAGATGGAAAATCATCACATGGGCAGGTAAGGTTGTTAAACTATGTAAGCCGTTAAACTATGTTTATTTTCTTGAATAACAAATTTGACCATACCATTTGCATGTCTAAAGTAAATTACTTGCATGGAGTGAATATCTATGCTGTGCAACCTCAAGTTTCATAGCCACCCTGTGGTCTGATGTATAGACATATTCATTATGTGGTTAACAAGCTATCCAGACCACTTTGTGATGTATTGGCGAAACCTTTATAGTAAACACTGTCTGATCAGGGCTACAAAGAAACATTGCCATTATGTTAAATTCATTTGTGGTGATTTTTTTTGGTAAAACAATATTGACAGCCTTGCCTGAATTTGACAACATTTTAAAGTTTGAAATAGGAGTCTTTATTTGCACATCATATGTAAAATCTTTTGTTTTTTTTGCATTTTCCTTCTAGATAGATCAATCAGGTAGCACAGCAAACCTAATCTCCAAAAAGTCCTCCAACCTGGTGGAACAAGTATTTAATTCATCCCTGTTCCGCCAAAAAGACAGCAGTCTTACAGGTGGGCTTACTTCTGGGAAGATTATAGATCCCAGATTGGCTGAGGGGAGGGGAAGGCCCATATGGACTGTAGACGACAGAGAGGCACGAATCTCCCCTTTGGACTTACAGGTAAGATTGCTTTACTTTGAAAAGGGTTACATACCTTAAAAACATTTACCGCAATCATTTTTAGATTCCTATCATATCTCTTCCAATGTCTGTGGTATTAGCCTATAAATGGTTAATTTATTTCTGCATATTTAAATGTTTATGAATACATAATGCGGACTCCAGAAAAGTTGTGGTAATATAATACGCTATGTCATTAAATACCATCACCACAAATTAATAATGCAAAACAAAAATCATATATGTCGTAAAATGTTCCTCAGGGCCAGGAGTCTTTGAACCCCAACAACATGGAGTTCTGGATGGATGACATCTATACTCCAGGCTACGATGGTCTACTCAGACGTAAAGAGGCTGACCTCCGCCGGGCTAAATACTGCAAGTTGATTGCACTCATTGCCGTTGCAGTGGTCATTATTCTCATAATTGTAATTCCTATTTGTAGCATGGCGACATGAACACCCTGACAGAGAGCCCAGTTTCTCTTCTGTTTTAGTTTTATTCTGTGAATTATTTATGATCAGCAGCTATGTGCTGTACCCTGGAGCTTGCACAATTTTCTCTAGTAATGAGTAGATGAGAAAGCTTGACACTGGGCCACTGAAAACTGAATGTCAGAAAACTGGAAGATTCAAACGCTAACCCCCTTGCTGAGTCACGCCTTCATGAAGTTGCATCAAATTGTAAGTAACATCCAATGCAAAGTTTTCTTTCCAATATACTGTCCTTTTTTCATGTTTTTTCCTTATTCATTTTATGTGGCGGAAATGTAATTAATTTATAAATGACCTCTGAGAAGACATGCTGTTACTAGTAATACTGAGCCAATGCACAAGTATCCTTTTTATTTATTTTTCAGTTTGTCTGCTGTTTTCTGAGAATCACCAATCTATCAAATCTTTTTAAATAAGCTTGACTGACTTCTGGCTGTTCCCTTGAGAACACTGCAGGGCGTTTTCACTTCAATATAAGAAGTTCGTTTTGTCAGATCACTGTTTTACATAAGCATTTTTAATAGCAATGATTTCTGTCAACAGGATACATTCTAGGTTATTTTAGTTTGAATGTTCTCGTACTTCCTTTAAGCAACCATGCATTCTACTCAAGCATGCTTATGTCAATAAAAAAATATTTTTATATAGTACCGTCCCATTTTTCAACTGAAAAATATAAACTGTTATATGCACTCATCAATGTGTTTGGCTGGAGTGTTTACTAAGTGTCAGGTTTCCAAAAATGTAGGATAGATATCCTGTTGTTGTTGAGGCAGTCAAAGAAAGATGGAGCCTTTTCCAGTAAACACTCTCTGGGAAGGATATTCCACTTGTAATTTCATTGATGGGATGTTTGGAGTGCACCTATGCACATTATCTTTGCACTACACTTACTTTGCTAGAGCTTTCTCACATACCTACAGACCCACTTAGCACCATGAGATTCATCTAGCATCTTTTCACAGTGGATGAAAGTAGTTTTGCCAATGGTGTGACATTCCATTTTGTAAAAACGCCCTGTTAACTCAGGAGATATTATATTTAGATCGACTTTTGGTGCCAGACTGTAAAATACACAGGGGGGTTGACACAAAAACATGGACGTTTTAAAAAAAACAACAAAGAAATGCAACACAATGTTTCTTTAATGAACACTAAATCTGTTCTCCTTGTAATCTTTATCATTTGTTAAGACTACGTCAGGAAGGTGTTAGATTAACATGTAGAGGATATGATGCAGTGTTCAAGGTGTATAACAGTGTCGCCACAATAACAGACACTTCTCTATACTTAGTATGGAATACAATACAATCCATACTTCTATATCTTATAACCCCTGAAGTCCCAAAAAGTTGAAATACCCTAGGTAATTTGTAAGTAAAACACCAAAGTATACAAAAACTATGCATATCCACGAGAAAAACTTCATCTGAATGCTTGTTTTTATTTTTTATATTTCCAGAGTCTAAAAGTTAACTTTGCTATGTGTGCACAAATATGCACAGGATGTATAGAGGCTGTACTCTGCTTCAATGCATCCTCCTAAGTAGACATCTATCTGCCAAGTCTTCCCCATGAGGCTGTTTGTGGATCCATTACCTTTCCAATGGTGCCACTGAGGAGGCCAAACATTGTAGTCAGCGAATTTGTGTGAGCTTCCTCTCAAACTTTGGTGCATTAGAGCCTCTTGATTCTTTTTACACTTGAAATTCATTTGTAAAAGTTGTTGTTTTTTGTTTTAATTAATGCACCTTTAAGACAAGCACCCTTAAATCTGTGAAGTCATTCAGGTAAACACCATGTCTTAAATAGTCTTGTATATGAATGGAAACGTGCTGACGTGTTACTTTTGTGCAATGCTTTATATGAATGTCAGGGATATGTGTTAATTAAGGTTGCCTGTCTGAATAAACTTGGCAAAGTGGTATTGTGCCTTTTACACTATTTTGTCCTGTCTGAAAAAAACAACAAAGTCAAACCTTATTGTTCTATGTTATAACAGATATAAAAAATTATGACTAAAAATTGTCTCCTTAAATCACCCTGTTTTACAGATTAATTATTCCCTATTACTTCTTAATTACTCGGTTGATGCCAGATTGCACTTCCAGGGATCACTAATGGTCCACTCAGTTTAAGAAAGGGAAGAGAGTGATCAGTATAAACAAAGTACAAATCTGACATTTTAATGACCTGGAAATGGAGGAGATATACATAGAGATGAATAATTGATAAAGGCAGAGATTGCCTATGGACTGACAGATCCTATTATCTCAAATCAGCGTTAAAGGACTTTCAGCATTCATAACCCACGCATGTTCTGAAAAGAAATGTAATGCTGAGATATAATGAAAATGCTGCAAAAAATATGAAAGCACAGACAAATCAGTGACTGCCAACTGCTTGGTTGTTTAAAAACATCCAATGGTGGACTTATACAGTTCTTAAATTGTTTTAATTAGTGTAATGTGTGTCTGTGTTGTACTCATTGAATGGTACAATGTAGACCTGCTGCTGCACCCAGATATGCCATCCATGGTTGATAAATGATGCTGATCTGCTTCCCATGTGCGATGACAACAACCAAAGGCTGTATGTTTTAAAGGATTTTATGATATTACACTAAATTTAATTGATTAGACTTGTAGAGGTGGTTGCCAGATGCTAACAGGGCCCTAACTCATCTTAAGCATGAACATCAGTCTATTTGACTGATTATTGTATTAAAATAGAAATGTAAATGTGCTGTAAATATTACACATACAATATTATTTTAGAGAGTTGCCTTCTCGTGAATTACTTTGAGACACTTCCAACCCCTAAGTGACCTCATGGTGCCCTTTGAAGCATGTTCTGGGAACAAGAGGAAACTTCTGGCTATAAGCACCTGTAGTTACAACCCTGGACCTGTGGGGGACGATAAAGCGCTCTCACTTCCTCCGCGGCAACTCACGAGGAAGAAAATCGGCGCTGTTTTTAAACTTTGAAGAAGAATGTGCAAACTTTATCGGGCAGGTGTGGCTCTTGTGCTGGGCTCGGAACAAACATTTAACATCTGTTTTTAACATTGGACAAAGTTATATTATTTCAAGTTAACCCAGGTACGTACGAAAACCAACCTAGGTTGTTTAAGTTCTTGTATCGTAGTTGTTTGTTTAATGGTGCTTTCCTGACGGTTTAGCGTAACGTTACAGACATGAAACATAATGTGTCTCACCTTAATGCTCATACAACGTTGACATACCAATCTTACAAATAACATGAACTAGCGTTAACCAAACACCAAATTATCTTTTCTAACCTAACTAATGTGTTATCAGCACTAGCTAACAGGAAGACACGATGGAGACGTCTGTAGTGAACCTGTTCAACCAGTTCCAGGGCCTAAGAGCCCAAGTGGACGGTCTGAATGAGAGCATCGAACCACGTAAGTTATTTACACACTTTCCGTGTGTGTGTGTGTGTGTGTGTGTGTGTGTGTGTGTGTGTGTGAGTTGGATTTTGGCTAGAGACCACAAATGTAGAGACTCAATGAGTGTAGGGTCTGTGCTATAGCTGGAAATGGTGAAAGAACTAGTACTATGGAAATGGTGCAGCATATAACACAACAGGGGGCTCACTTAGCTTTTGGGGTGCAGTAAAAATCCACCCAGACCAGGGATGGGCAACTTTGGTCACAGCAAGGGCCACATTCATTCAATTCTCACTGCCAGGGGGTCAAATTGTAGGATACAAAAATGATTATAGTCAATTATGTCTCAATTTGAACTCAACATATACCAGTGATCAAATATTATTATGGACATATGTCTGGTTTTCATGATTTCATGGCAGATTTCGTCATGTTTTCTTCATGTTTCCATTTAATTGATATGTAAAAATTGACCTGAGTGCCACATTGAGGGTTGATGGGGGCCACATGTGGCCTCTGGGCCGCCAGTTGCCCACCCCTGACCCAGACAATGTTATTCATTTACATTTCAAATAATGGGAACGCACTGTCAATGATTGATTTGCATAATTATCACTTCAATCTGAAGCAATTATGAAGGCGCAATACACACATCCATCACACTACAAAGGAAATACCAGAATCCCCCCCCCCCTTCTGTTTTTCTTACACAGAGTACCTACAGATGGCTGTGAACTTTGAGGAGTGCCGTAAGAAGTGGCTGAGGGTAGGTGATGAGCTGGTTTCCTGTAAGGAGGTGCTGGCTAAAGCAGAGACTGAGAAGGAGCCTTGGAGGTTAAACTCAAGCATGCTCGCAACCAGGTGGATGTGGAAATTCGCCGGCGGCAGAAAGCTGAGGCTGTCCATGAGAAGCTGGTTGGTGCAACACTACTTGTAAATCTCACATGCACATGTTTATGTTCGCAGTGAGAAAAAAAAGTATTCTTCAAAGTATGCCTTCAACCACTTTGACTGTTCATTATGACAAAATAATGAATTTTCCCGCATCTGTCTGTGTTGGTGTCTCTGTCATCCTGCTGGGTCTTGTATGAAACAGGAACGTCAGCTGCAGTTGATCCGGGATATGCTAATATCAGAAAACAACGGCAGTGTCCACCTCAGTGAAGAGCAGCGCTCTGCTCTGGCCTTTCTCAGTGCCCACTCCCAGGCAGCACAGGCTGCTAAAGGCAACCTCAACACCAGTCGAAGGTGAGATCCTCCATGATTGACATTCAAACAACTGGAGGTGCATTGTTATTATTGTTTTTTTTTCCCCTGAAGAGTACAGTTGAGAGAGTAATATTGATTTTCAAACCACAGTCCCTCATGCTTTCTTGAGCTTTCACTTGTAAGAATGTAGAACTTTGAATATTGTAATAAGCTTTCTGCTATTAACTTTATGGAGAAGCAGCACAAACACTGTACCCTGGAGGGAATTAATTTATTAGGAAAAAAAATCTTATATGAAAGATTATATAAGTCTGTAGAGGACAATGTAAACCATGGACATAAT